TATTTCCCAGCAGTGGGAGGGGAAGCCAAGTCATTCCATTTTTCACCACATTTTTTCCTCAAAAATTGGAAGCCCAGACCCCAAAATATTGCAGTTCGGCTATGCGGTGGCAGTGCCTTGTGGATTTTGTAGTTCGCCTATCTCATATTCCCCATTTTCCAGTATGGGCTGGGCTTCCTTAGCCAGCATGCCTCTCCCATCATATCCCAGCAGTGGGAGGGGAAGCCAAGTCATTCCATTTTTCACCACATTTTTTCCTCAAAAATTGGAAGCCCAGACCCCAAAATATTGCAGTTCGGCTATGCGGTGGCAGTGCCTTGTGGATTTTGTAGTTCGCCTATCTCATATTCCCCATTTTCCAGTATGGGCTGGGCTTCCTTAGCCAGCATGCCTCTCCCATCATACACCGTGACTTCCAGATTTACACTGGTCCGGTTGAGACCAGAACATGCAAACCACACAGACCTGAAGTGAGAGCTGCAGTGGGTTATGCAACCGTTGTGGAACAAGGACTGATCAAGCTTTGTAACACCTCAGTTCAACCTGAGGCAGTGTGAACTTGTCAGCTGTGTCTTTCAGTCCACCAGCTATTCCTGAACAGCTGGCTGGGTAGACAACTGCTTTTCCATGTCTTAAAACTTTAAGATCATATTTTTATTGGGTGGGTTTCTTTTCTCTTCTCTTCTCTTCTCTTCTCTTCTCTTCTCTTCTCCTTTTTCTTTTTCTTTTTCTTTTTCTTTTTCTTTTTCTTTTTCTTTTTCTTTTTCTTTTTCTTTTTCTTTTTCTTTTTCTTTTTCTTTTTCTTTTTCTTTTTCTTTTTCTTTTTCTTTTTCTTTTTCTTTTTCTTTTTCTTTTTCTTTTTCTTTTTCTTTTTCTTTTTCTTTTTCTTTTTCTTTTTCTTTTTCTTTTTCTTTTTCTTTTTCTTTTTCTTTTTCTTTTTCTTTTTCTTTTTCTTTTTCTTTTTCTTTTTCTTTTTCTTTTTCTTTTTCTTTTTCTTTTTCTTTTTCTTTTTCTTTTTCTTTTTCTTTTTCTTTTTCTTTTTCTTTTTCTTTTTCTTTTTCTTTTTCTTTTTCTTTTTCTTTTTCTTTTTCTTTTTCTTTTTCTTTTTCTTTTTCTTTTTCTTTTTCTTTTTCTTTTTCTTTTTCTTTTTCTTTTTCTTTTTCTTTTTCTTTTTCTTTTTCTTTTTCTTTTTCTTTTTCTTTTTCTTTTTCTTTTTCTTTTTCTTTTTCTTTTTCTTTTTCTTTTTCTTTTTCTTTTTCTTTTTCTTTTTCTTTTTCTTTTTCTTTTTCTTTTTCTTTTCATGTGTGGAGAGCTCTGAGTATCTTGCAGGATCTTTGCCCAGGGTCTTTGCTGCCTTTTCTGTCAGGATCCCTGTAATTTTCAGCCAGGTGAAAACAAATCTTTGGATGAAATTCTCTGAACGAAACACGTAAATGACTGGGCAGAGTATGAACCTTGAGGTCCCAGCCCCTCACAGGCAAGGGATCTCCTGAGAGAGCAAGAGCCCCATATTCCTGGGTTCTCCCTGTATCCAGCTCAGGACAGAATATGTACTTTACCTGGATTCTTCACTTTAGCCCCTTGGAATTAACAGGTTGTTTTTTTTTCCAGTTTGATTGACAGGCAGCTACAAATAACCCTCTGGCGTGTGCTGAAGATGCAGCCATCTGACTAACAGGTAGGCGGTAAAATCCCTATTTAACACTCACATTTTTACAGTTCCTTTGTCTGAGCTTCAGGGGTTTTACTAGGAAAGCTGACAGCCTCACTGGGCCCCTGAGCAAGTTGTGTGTAGGGGGCTGGCTCCATGCTCCTGGAAGAGGCGGGGCCTCAGGCAGAAGGGGTGGGGCCAGGACAGCTGCTCTGACCACCCTGTGCTTTAAGAAGTGCCCCCCCCCCCCGTTCCCTCCCTCCCCCGGTATTCTGCAGCACACTGTGCTGGGCTCTGGCAGCAATTTAAAGGGCCCAGCTACAGCTGATAGGGGCACTTGCCTCCTTTTAGCCCTTTCCGTGGGCCTGGGTATCACACATGTTAAGAGCCCCGGGCTTTATGGCCCAGGACAAAGAGAAGACTTGGGAACAGACCCGCAAATTGGTGCGGCTCCAATGGGGTCAAGGGACCAGATCCTTTGCTAATGCTGCTTTGTGCAGCTCCCCAAATAAGGGGTGTGCTGCCGGTTTATGTCAGCTGAGGCTCTGACTCCTTATTATTAAGTAGCCTTTTGTTTCAAGGTGGAAAGCAAAGGAGGAAAACAAAGCTGGTTTCCTCCCTGCCCAGAGTGGGGTTCTGTAAATGGGCAGGGCTCCACTGATGTCCGTGGAGCAGGTCTCCAGCAGGTGCAAACCAGAGTCACTCCTTTGCACTTCAACTAAAGACCTGCTCCCTTATCTCTAGGGCATCTTCCTTCTTAAAGGGACAGGACTGTGGTTCTTCGGTTGTGTGAGCTTCCATTTCCCTGCAGAGCCCCTGCCGGCTGATCCGTGGGGCAAAATGTTCTGGGACCCTGGTGGGAACTGGGGAGATGGGGATGGAGGAGGAAGTGGTTTCAGGACAGGATTTCGCTCCTGCCTGGGCTGTTTTTTTTTGCAAAACCTAGAGAACTGCTAGGTTTAGGGAATGTGTGTCCTGTGTGTGTCTCCACCCTTCCAATTATGGCAGAGTCTTCTGCCTGAGCTGCCGTTTGCCGAGGAGAGCAAGAGAGAAGGCAGAACTTTCCCCTCCCTATTTGGAAGGAGAGGCTGAGCTGAGATCACATTTCCTGTGGTCAAACCGGAGGGGGTAGTAACAGCGTGACGTGCGGCAGCTATGGGACTGCACGAGGCTGCTCACCCCCAGCCAGCTTTGGCAGCCTCCTCTGAGTCCTGCCGGGGAGCTGTGTCCAAATCTCCGATTGTGACCAGTTGCAGGCAGTCAGTGCTGCAATAGGTGCCCAATCCGCCTTGGATGCAGGCTGAAGATTGAGTGTGCAGAGAAGTGGACTTCTCCTTGCATCCCAGCCTGGATTGAGTGGGGGTTCTGGGTCTGAAACTAATCCGACCGTGGCTGGGGAGCAGCTAAGGGACTGTCCTAGGGCTACCTCGGAGAACCAATACCACCTGTGTAGGAAATGCACCGACTCACTTAAGTGGCTAATGGGAGCCAGAGCCTCTAAGCCAGTGGTTTTCAAATGACGGGTTGCGACTCAGGACGGGGGGGTGGGATGTTGGGTGCTGGGACTCGTTACCGCAGGGGGATCAGGTGACCAGTGGGGGAGCTCAGGCAGCTCCCTGCTTGTCCTGGCACCGCAGACTGCACTGTGCCCTAGAAGCAGCCGGCAACAAGCCCGGTTCCTAGGTGGGAGGCAAAAGGGGAAGAGCACACCGGGCTCCACGCACTTCCCTTGCCCTGAGCGCTAGCTCCTCACTCTCACTGGCTGGGAATCTGACGCTGGCTGCTTCTGGGGGCAGCATGGTCTGCGGTGCCAGGACAGGCAGGAAACTGCCTTAGCCCCCCCCACTGCATCGTTGACCGGGAGCCGCTCAAGGTATGCCCTTCCTGCCCCAGCCTTGACCCCCCCCCCCAAGCTGGAGCCCCCGCCCCCAGCCCAAAGCTCCCATCCTCAGCCCCACCCCGGAGCCCACACTCCAGTCAAATTCTGCTGGGTCGCAGAATCAACAATTTTCTTCAACTGGGTCATGAGAAAAAAGTTTGAAACCCGCAGCGCTAAGGTACTGGCTTGAATCTAGCCTCGGGGGGCAGCAAGTGAGAACCCTTGTGAGGGGCGCCGTGCGGTCTTTGTGTGAAACGAGTGGCTGAGCCCAGGCCCCGGCTGGCAGAGAGTCTGCTTGCCACTCATTAGCCCTTGTGCAAGCTGATGCACTAGTGCAAAATGGGCGCGAAGCGCTGCGGGGTCAGCCCTGCAAATGACCGCAGAAGGTGCCGGGCAGGAGAGGAGCAGGCACTGAATGCCTCTGAAAAGGGGGGCGTATGGCACATTGGGGAGGGGACAGTGTGTGTGGGACTAGCACCTGGCCATTGACCATGCTGAACCTGTTCTAAGTGTATATAGGTGCAGGGGCGGCCCTAGACTAGCTGCCAGGAACTGGAGCCCTAGGTGAACCATGCAATCGGCGCCCCCACCTCCAAACCCCTCAATGACCATTTGGTGTCCCATTTAGCTTGGCACCCTAGGCGACTGCATAGTTCGCCTATATGGACGGGCCGCCCCTGTATAGGTGGGTGTGTCAACAGAGGCCTGCAGGCATCAGTGCATTCAGAGGCAATGTAAAAGGACCTTAAAGTGGCCTTCAGTTATGGTAGTGGTGCTCAAAAAAAAAAAAGGGGGGGGGCGGGATTTTTGTTGAGCAAAAAAAACCGGCCAGAGTATTTTGTTGCAACCCCTTTAATTTCCTCTCCCCTGCCTCTGCTGCGTATACATTGGGCACCAAGCCGGGAAAACAAAATAGCGGCTGTCACGGTGCTGTAACCCCCCCAAATACAGTCGCGACCCCCCACGGGTTGCGCACCACTAGGTTACAGCTTCCACTTTAAGACCCCTTTGTACCACTCTGGCAGCGTAACAGGGTCTTGGTGTAAATGAAAGTCTAGCCACGAATCTGGACGACAAGCCAGGTTCCCACTTTGGTAGCGTAAAGGGACCTTTAACATATGCACAGCTGTAATTTATTCCTATTTTAATAATAATGATAATCCCCAGCTCTTAGTATACCACCTTTCATCTGTAGCTCTTAACATGCTTTACAAAGGACGGCAGTATCCTTACCTCTCTTTCACATGGGGAAACTGAGGCCCAGCGCTCTGCAGCATCACGCCCCAAGTCACCCAGCAGACCCGTGGCAGACAGGAATAGAACCCAGGTGCTTTCTGTACCAGGCTACAATGCTTTTAGGGCCCCATATGCTGCTGGAGAAGCGTAAAACGACCTCAGGGCTTGTTTGCACACATGCTAGGTGCTGTCCGACTGAGAGGACGTTTTCAGGGGTGGGCCCCACAGGGTGCACTCTGGGTCCAGCCCTAATCACTGTTTGCTTTAACGAGAGGAGGACAAAGAGGAGAGAACACTGACAGACGGCGCCTAGCGGTGAGGGGTTGCAAGAGCTCTGGAGTGCTGGACGGAAGCTCAGAGTGCTTGGGATGAATTGGAGAATTGGTCTGAACTGGATCAGAGGGAGTTCAGTAACGCTACGGCACAGTGCTCTGTGTAGGAGGGAAAATCCAAACACACAGAGCACACCGGGGAATAACCGGCTTGGGGGCAGTACTGCTGACGAGGATCTGGGCATTCCAGTGGATGGAAACCTGAATGTGTGTCGACAGCGTGTGACGCTGCTGAAAAAAGGCATTTGGGGAGCATCATAATGCAAGACGCTGACCATAATTGTTCTGCTCTAGCTGGAGCTGTGTTACAGACTACCAACGGGGACGGTGTTGATTCCTCATCGGGTGTTTTTTAGAAACGGGGAAAACAAGCGTCTGTCAGGGATGGTCTAGTGATATTTAATCCTGCCTGGGTGCAAGGGGATGGTCTAAGTCAGTGCTTCTCACTGGCTGGTCTGTGGACCGATGCCAGTCCCTGAGAGCTCCCTGATGCAATTTAGGAAGGCAGCAAGTGGGTCCCTGGGTATCAAAAAGGTTGAGAAACACCAGTCTAGCTAACATCTTCAGGTCCCTTCCAGCTGTACATGTCTGTGGTTAAATGGAAAGTTGTACCGTTTTAGCTGTCCTGGTCTAGATAAAGTGGTATAACCCACTCCTGTGCCTCTGACAAAGTGGGTTTTACCCACGAAAGCTTAGGCCCAAATAAATCTATTAGTCTGTAAGGTGCCACAGGACTCCTCATTGTTTTCGCAGATACAGACTAACACGGTGATCTCTCGGAGACCCTCTCCTGTGGACCGAGTTATACTGGTATAAAAGTGCTTGTAGTGGTGTAGCTGTTCTCATAAAGGAAGGAGAATAAGCTATACTAATAAAAGGCACCTTTATACTGACACAGCCGCATGAGTGTAAACAACTAACTGCTTAACCGCTTATTGTATGCTTATCGGTTAAAAGTGTCGGTTACACTCAGCAAAGTCACCTCCCCGGTAGCCTGGCAGGCAAGGGCAGCTGGCGGTGCCTTCCTGGGAAGCTTTCGCTGCAGGCTCTGCAGTATAAAGATAAGCATGGGTAACCGTATAACCACTGAGATTTTCAGCATTTACACGGTTACCCCATTACACAATTTTTTTTAAACATCCCTAGGTTGCACTGATACAGTTATTTGGGTAGAAAATCACAGCCCTATCTGACCACTATACCAGTACAAAATTTGCCCTCCTGAGTGTAGGGCCAGGTCCACACTAGACCTGGCAGCTCAGCTTAAGGCACACAACTCCAGCTACATAGAGTACGTAGCTGGAGTCGGCTTATTTTAAACCGAGCTTGGCAGTGTCCCCATTGCAAGAGGCCGACAGGAGCAAAAGGAGTAATGGGATGCCAGCGGGGGCACTCTCTTAGTTTGACTTAGTGAGTCTTGACTAGACTCGCTAAGTCAAACTCCGGAAGATCAATTGTGGCAGTGGCGGATCTTCCTTTTAGTGTAGACAAGGCCTAGGTTGGAATCAGGCTAGTGTCAATGCCACTGCCGTGCAGACCATCCCCTTTGTAGTTTGGTAACTTTTTCCTCCACTCTGTAC